GATGAAATATGAATGTCTCCAGTCTTTACTATCTAAACACATGTTAAAGTACTTTACAAAAAAAGAAATATGGCACTTTTCCATTTTTGGTCTCAGAGATATTTACTGTAGTTTTAAGTTTATGCTAATCAGGATGAAATTCCACGAACTGTCACAAAATCAAAACTAACCCTGAACTCGAAACTGAAGAATTTAAAATTTGCTCTGTGGTCCCTGACAAAAGGTTAACTTTGTGATTTACTGTCATCACTTTTTTCCTTTTCCTTGTAGTTACTCCATCTTTTATGTCAAATCTTCCAAATACCAAGCAAGTGAAAGCTGAAAATGAGACCATAAACTACACCTGTACAGCAGAAGCCAAACCTGCAGCTCAAGTGTTATGGACCATTAATAACGAGAATAATGTTACAGAGAACACAACATACCTTGGTACAGTGTTCACCTTCAGCACAGTCAGCTCATCAAATGTCAAATATCAAAAGACAGAAAGCACCCTTGTTCTTAATCCTGTTAACTGGAGAATGGCAGGGACTATTAGCTGTATTGCATACAATGATGCTGGACAGAGTAAACAGGACACTATGCTAGAAGTGTTGCGTAAGAAATTGCTTTTTGATATGCCAGTTCTTATCATACATTATAAGGTCATAGCCACCACTTGGTCAGTGGTCAGGTTTTTAAAAAAGGGGTCCTGTTTTTTTATTTACTTGTATAATAAATATGTTTATAATAAATAAATATTTTTATTACACAAGTAATAAAAATATTTATTACACAAGTAAATAAAAAAACAGGACCCCTTTTTTAAAAACCTGACCACTGTCCAAGTGGTGGGTGACTATGATTTACTAGTGCTTTTTATATTATGCCATGATAATGGATCTAGGATGTTGAAAGCCATCATTTCATACTTCTTGAATAAGATATGTAACCAAACAGTATTATACTGTTGACCAATTGTATCAGTTGATATTGCAGCTTAGATTGAGCTTACATGTACATGGTTTTCAAGATTTTTGTTTTCTTGTTTGCTAACTGTGCCCATGGTACTTGGGTTAGACTATGAAATATAAAAATGTGATTTGAAACTACTCTATCTTTGATCCAGATCGCCCAGTTGTCATGCTTCCTGAGGACCATCCACAGAACAGCACATTAAACGCAGGACAGACAGTGACATTTACTTGTAAAGCCACAGGAAACCCACCTACAACTAGTTATGTATGGAGGTTCAAAGATGCAATCATTCCTGGTGAAGTCTTGCCAACATTTTCCAAGGCAAACATCGACAAAGATGATGAAGGAAGATATTCCTGCAGTGGTGTTAATAGCCGTGGCGAAGGACCTCAAGCTTATGCTTATTTGTTTATAAAAAGTATGTATTTTAATGTTAGTGTATATACTGTAGAATAGCAATAAATACACAAGTCTTATGAGAATTGTGAAGGAGGGTGTCATAGATATTACTGGACTTTTAGCTCTGGTGTTTCCTGTTTGATTCCTAGACCATCATGTGAGTAGAGTTTGTAGTATCTCAATCTTTTTTTTTTTTTAATGGTTTCTATTTTTTGTTTTTCCTCCCTCAATAAACAAGTCTGCTAAATAATTGTCCAAACTTGAGTTCAGAGTTTGATTTAAGTTAGCTATGCCCTGACTTTGGTCAGCCSAAAGGTTGTTTTTGGGTTCAATCTGAGAGTTAGCTATGCCCTGACTTTGGTCAGCCCAAAGGTTGTTTTTGGGTTTTATAAAATTGAAGGTTTGGTGAAGAATTATTTCTTGCTTTGTGCTCAGAATATATATTATTACACTCACCCAGATGATCACGCTGCACAACAAATATATATCATATTATATAAATTTAATTCTTGATTCTTACTTATTTACAGCTCCAGCAAAAATCTACTATGCACCACAGTCAACAGCAAACGYTACTGGTTCAGCTGTACTAGAATGTCGTGCAAATGGTGTTCCTAAACCTAATATAACCTGGACAAGAAAGRATAGTAATATAATCTTGCATAAAGGAGAGAGGTTCAGAATTGTCAATGTAACRTATGAAGATGCTGGAAAATATATCTGCTCTGCAAAAAATGAGCTGAACATTGATAGAGAAGAGGTGACTCTTGTTATACAAGGTAAGCATCTGGCTTTTTGCTTGTACGCTTTTCTTTCTTCTCTATACTTAAATTCTGACAAGGTACCAGAAATAACYACTCACTCCTCAYAAGATTACCAGATGAGATGCGATAATTACTGTCCAAAGTACTGTATGGTGATAGTGAACAATCTGCACCRTACGGTAAGTGGTCGGTAACWMCGTTTGCYGACCATTTACTGTTATCTTACCTATTACYGTACTGTAWCATGGGCTGGCATGAGAGTTAGGCACTTTTGGGCAAAGAAATTTGTTTCTTTACATTTTTGTCCAAGCTACCTCACTACCATGCCCCTCTTCAATACTTTTGACAGCGACCATCACATCCCTGAATGTACCTTTTATCTGTGGACCCTTGGGGCTTTATGTTCACTGAACTGATAAGTTTGCCTTCATTTTAATTCGGAATTATCAAAACCACTCACAAAGTGCCGAAATTCAATCTTCTGAGGAAAGAAACTTTTTTCTCTCAATCTTCAGTTTCTGTACTTTATAAAATGATGKGCTTTATTATTATGCAAAAATTGTTGAATCTGATTGGCTGACTTTGCTTTCTGATGAAGGTTAACTTCAGGGGGGTTGGCTGCTATCTAGAAAGGTTTTATATAGCATCTCTTTTAGATTTGACCTTATTCTATATTCTTATCATTTTAAAACCCCATTTAAATCGGGGTTGCTAGCCACCTAATCCACCCCTCCCCCCTGAGTTCACTCTTGCCTCCCCYYGAATATAATCTTGCTTTTTATTTATTTATTATTTATTTTTATTTAAACATATTAACTCTCTGTGTTTGCTCCAAGAGCTAAGCTCATCATGGGAGATTACACAGAACATAATAATTACAATGCTTTTGGAGTTTTTAGCTTCTTGTTTAATGACAAAGGGGTTTTTTTTTGTTCTTTTTAGTGAAACCAAWTATTACATCTAAYAAACCAACCGACACACAAATAGCTGGTGAAATAGGCCAGGACACTTCAATACGTTGTGTGGTAAAGGCCATACCCTATGCTACGATATGGTGGACCAGAGGTAGTGAATCTGCTATCCTGGATGCTCGAAGTGATCGTGTTAAATCACTCAATATTGGAGACTCTGAGATGACACTTATAATAACAGTCTCATATTTTAATGAGAAGTATTTCTGCCATGCTAAGAATCTCCTGGGATATGTTTCRCAGGAATTCACTATCAGGAAAAAAGGTAACGCTATAATGTTCTTCCTCGCTTAACAATTTTCTGCTACCCCACCTCATGCAAGGTGGACAGACATTAAGGCACCAACTATGTGGCTCAAATCTAAAAAAACAAACAAAAATCATTTTATTTTCCGGAATTACTGGTCAYACGTAACGTGAAGTAGCTGTAAAACAGAAGATTTCGAATTAAAACAAGAAAATAAAAAGAAATCATTCAATTCCAGTTTAAACAACAACAATTGCCAGTATATTTATTAATGTTCGCTCTTCTGTAGGTGCCCCAGATGCCCCACAAGACCTTATCGTCACAGGCATCAGAGTACCAAAGAAGAGAACAGTGGACGTGAACCTTACATGGACGCCTGGTTACGCTGGTGGTGAGCAGCAGTTTTTTACTGTTCTGTACAAGCTAAACAGTGCCGAAGCTGAAGTATTCACAGAAGTAGTGATCGACAATGCTGAAGGAGCACAGTACATTATTAAGGATCTGAAACCTTATACTAGTTATGTCTTCAAAGTAAGACCTAGGAATTCTAAAGGCCTTGGACCAGAATCAAAACAAGTGTTCTTTACCACGCCAGGTAAGAATCCTGCCTATCTCTACCCATTCAGATAAATGACATTAAAATTTTATACTACCTGAAAGAACCTTTGTGCTTATCAAAGTCAGGGCACAGAACCCTG